CCTTACATACAACATAGAGTATATCTTAGGATACAAGAAATTTATACCAAGTCTTTTGACTTACTGTTGGTTTAAATAAGTGTGTTAAGTTTACATTATTGTAATGTCTGAAGTTACAGAGTGCAAAAACAAGGAAGTAGAATTAACTGTAATGCTTGATTATTGGATTCATATATGGGAATGTTTAATGTTTAGAATGGTGAGGAAGTGAGTTAGCATCTAGCGTATTGTGAAAAATGCTCATATTTGTTTTCTGCACTTCTGTGTACAGAAGTACATCTGTAGAAAAAAGGACTTGGTTCCTTTTCTTTTTTTTTTTCTTTTCAAATTGAGTTGTTTTGTTATCATTGCAGCTGTTTGGGTGGTAGGTGGAAGTTGTATTAAGCTCTCAGTTCAATTTTTCTCAAATCTATTTTGTCCCTGGTTCAAAGGGACTTTTTCACATTTTTGGCCCTTATTTGGTACTACTGGATTTGGAGGTTTTGGGGGTGGGGGGTGGGGGAGATAGAAGATCTCTTGAGGGTGTGGAAAAAGTTCTTGTAAAGTTGAGAGCTAATCTTTTGGTTTTATTAAATTTTGGTGCACCCACGAAGTTCCTGTTAGCATAGATGATTGGGGTTTTTTTATGGCAAACCACATTCTTTTCCAGGTGTTTTAGTTTTTGTGTATCACTTGTATATGGGAATTTTTCACACATCAATAAATTAGTGCTTTATCAAAATAACGAGAATAAAGTGTGTAGGCATTTTCACCAAGGGTGTATCCTAATTGTCAATGAAGCTAAATGAACCATGGGAGACCGAGTTCAAAATCCTAGCAGAGGCACAAATACTCAAGGTGATTTTGCCTATTTATCGAAATCTTGGTGGGGCAGAGTTAGTTGGTATTTGTGCTGGCGGGAGGTAGTAGGTGGTGGGAGGTAGTAGGTACCGGTAGATTAGTGAGGTGAGCGCGTGTTGGCCCATGCGCCACCGTTATAAAAGAAGTGCTCAGGTTACTTACCCTGCCTTCTTTATGATTTTTTATAAAAGTTAATTTGAATTTATTTTTTCTTTTTAAATGATTAAAAGTTCCTATTTCCTCCCTTAGAAATCTTTTTATATGTACTGAATGCCTCTTCAGGAAAAAAGAAAATTGAAAAAGGGCTAGAGTTCCTCTGATTAACTAACCCCTCTTTATATCTTTTCTGTTAATTGACTGTGTCTATGTATGTTTTTATTCAAAATTTGCAAGAGATTCTGCTGGAACCTTGGTACTAATGACAAGACAAGCAATTATTGTTTTGACTTGAATCTTTTTTCCTTATAACTTTAATGTCGCCTATGATTCTAGTGCTAATGTATTATTTTGTAGGTTATTTGCCATGAAATAATAGATGTTGACGTGGAAGAAGATATCAGTGATATTAATAAGCACATTGATGGAAATGTAAAATCTAGTGGCAAGGGGAAGGTAATCAGAGGATTGCCAACACGATCTTCTCATACTACTGGTTCTGTTCATCTTCTATGCTGTTATTTTGGGGGACTAATTTTGTCAATAACCTCTCTTGCAGGATATATTGGTCGATGTTTCCCTTGGTCATGGCAGTTCAGCTAATAGTGGACCAGTAGATGGGGCTCAGTCTTCAATTAAGTGCCCTTCAGCATCAGTTAATCCAATTACTATAGATGATTTTGTTATTGATGAGCACATAGACATGTATTATGATGACTATTATGATGACTTACTGTATGACGGTGTTATGAAATCACATTTTGATAACATGGATATTCCCCCCGGAGTTGAAGCTCCAATCCCATGGATGCCTTGTCCCGCCGATGGAAAAATGGCATCAAGGAACCAGTCCACTTCATTTAGCAGCTCAACTCTTGTTAGTCAGCCCACACAGTTTGGGCAGTCTTGGTCATCTCTAGGACCTGCTTTAGGCAAAGAGAGACTATTATCCATCGGAAATTCAAATTTTGAGGGAAAAAGTAGTTCAATGAACCTCTCATCTGGGGCAGAAAAACATTTGTTTTCCCATTGTACAAAGAAATTCCATTCATCCCATGCTACAGCTTCTTATGGTTGGGATAACCAATCTACTCCTAGTGCGGCTTATCCCCCAAATTTTTCCATGGGATCTCCAGTGCCTGATTGGACAAGTTTATTACTTAATCCAACCACTCAGGTTTCATCAGGATTTACTCATGCGTCAGGGGCTATGAACTATTTCCCTCAGGAAATGGATTTTGCGCCCTTAAATCCGGGATTGCTTAAAAGTGCAACAACAACATCAAGTCCATCAATTCCTTCGGGGCCAGCTTCTAATGGGGAACAACATGCAGATTTAGGTGAAACAGTGAAGAAGCTCCGTCTTTTCAAAAAATTTGATACTGTTCAGGATTATAAGGACCATTACTATTCTGCTTCTTCAAAAAACCAGGTTAGTTAAACCCAAGTAAGATTCCGAAACTATAATTACTTCTGGCTTCATCTTATTGTATCTTTCCCTCCGTTACAGCCTTCTAAGAGTTGGGCCAAGAAAATACAGGAGGAATGGAAAATCCTGGAGAAAGATCTGCCTGGTATTACAAGCAAAGTTCTATGTGATGTGTTATATTTTCTTTTTCATCAAACGTTTGAAATTTAACAAACAAAAGCCTAGAAATACTGTCTAGTCATGATAGTCTTAAAAGCCTCCATGTGTAACTATAACACATGCTTTTGCAATTTTTTCTGGCCACTCACATATGGTCATCTTTTATTGAGCAGATACAATATTTGTCAGGGTGTATGAAACAAGAATGGATCTGTTGAGGGCAGTTATTAAGGGAGCTGATGGAACTCCATACCATGATGGCCTTTTCTTCTTTGATGTTCTCTTTCCAAGCAACTATCCCAATGTTCCCCCGGTATGTGTCTTGCTCATGGGCAGACTGGCACTGAACCCCCTTTGCCGGAAAATTACACTGTGTATATAAGTTTAAAACTTTTTTTCATGTATATTTATTAGCTGTTGAATTCCCTTGATTTCTTGGCGTGTTTACTTTTTTAATTTTCTGAATACCCTTGGTGAAAATCCTGGCTCCGCCACTGAACTCTCTGGATACTGTACTACTTTATCCTCTTTCGACCTTAAGCCTAACACCTCCCAACCTATTGTTGCCAGCAAGTTCACTACCATTCGTTTGGCCTTCGACTCAATCCTAATTTATATGCTTGTGGAAAAGTCTGCCTGAGTCTTCTCAACACTTGGAGCGGCACAGGGAAGGAGAAATGGATCCCTCGTGAGTCTACCATGCTACAAGTTTTGGTGTCCATACAAGGGCTAATTCTGAATGCAAAGCCCTATTTCAATGAGCCTGGTTGGGCAGGCATGAGCGGGACACCTAGAGGAGAAGCAAGCTCACTGCAGTATAATGAGAGCACTTATATTTTAAATCTGAAAACAATGGTCTTCTCCATTAGGCGGCCGCCAAAGGTATCCTTATTTTCTTAAATTGTTTGTCTGCTGTGATCATACCGTGCATGAATTGGTTTTCTTAACCATCTAATACCAAATAAGTTTTGTTATGCTGCATGTCCTTTACGACTTTTTCTCGACTTTGTAATGGCTTTTTCAAACCTTGTGGTTCTACATTAAATACTAATTCCATTCGTGGCTCTTGCTGCAGCACTTTGAGGATTTTGTGGTAGGGCATTTCGTACAAAGTGCTCTGGATATACTCGTGGCGTGTAAGACATATATGGATGGTGCTCAAGTAGGTAGCCTTGTCAAGGGAGGTGTTCAGGATGTCGATGAGGGTGACAAGAGCTGCTCACAGAGTTTTAAGGCTTCTTTGGCGGGGTTTATCAAGACAGTTATAGATGCATTTACTGAGATTGGTGCAAAGGATTGTGACAAGTTTCTTTACTTGACACAAACAGGACCTGTCACGAGCTTCCTCAATAAAAAAAGAGGAACTGGCAAGAGAAAATGAGCTATTTCCATGGTTGACCAATGAGAATGATGTAGAGGGATGCTGACATTGGATTTTGACTATAGATAGAGCGACTTAATTTTGAACAACTTGTTCAACTTTATTATGATGCAACTATCGACATAATTGTGTACTATGATGTAAAGTAACAAATATTCTTTTCTGCATTATCCGTGTCGGGATATGTATAGCTTCATGCTATACTTTCCTTCAGCTTATTCAGTGTTTTCTTTCTTCTGGTTTTTATGAGTTTGTAGACAGCAAAGGTAGAGTTCATTAGACCATGATGTGTTCATCTGATTTATAATATGTATAGATCCTATAATTTATACGGGCTTATTCATGGTTTCTTGCTCAGAATTTGTTATCAAATATGAAAGTCATTAGAGAATGTTTATGTTGTTCACACTCTTCGAAAACTCCGTAGAATGCGTGCGGGTTCTTCCAAAATTTGTGCATCTTGAAGGATCCGACACGCGTGTTATAGCATTTTTGGAGGGCCCGAGCAATCACTTACATTGGAGCTAATTTAGTCCACATGTTGTATCATGATACTCATTATCACCAAATCAAATAATTTGTTGCTTAATCATAGATAAATAATAATTACGTGCGTCAATATTTTAACCAAATATATTTTTAAATATTGTGTGAATGAAAATTTTAACCAAATGTATTTTTAAAAGAAACCATTATCAAGTCTTGGATTTATTAGTTATGGCTCCTAGTAAAAAATGATTTTGAAACCAAAACGATATTGGTTACCAAAACAAGACACCTCCACTCTGGAGAAAGAATTGTGTTTTGACTTATCCTTCACATAAGTGAAATATGTTAACATATCAATTGGTGATGAATATATTTTGCCATTAAAGCAAACCTCCATCGATATAAATTAATTCAATTTGTTTTTCTTTCCTTCTTTCCTTCTTTTCTCATTTTTTTTCTTTTTTAATTCAGCATTTCATACTCATTTTTATAGCCCAGCTAATGGAATTACACCGAAATATTTTATTTTTGGGGGTAAAGTGCTCCCGTCGAAAGATGATTCCATTTTCAAAGATCAAACTCTAGATGTCTGAGTTTATTTTTAATAGGATTTGCTACTTAGATTTCTATCCCAAAAAAAGAAAAGAAAAAACCAAAATCAAAACCCTAAATTGGATCCAGGGTTTATAATCTACCCGTCAACTTTTTCGACCGTATCAAAATACCCCCACTAAAACAGTCCAACTTAATTTCCCGACTGTAAACTACGTGCGGTTCAGTACCCAATGGAGGTTGAGGGCATTTTGTACGAAACTCTCAGCCCTCTCTCCGCCGCCACTATCTCCACCACCGACCACCCACCTCCGTCGTCCTCCGACGAACATGAACCTTACCTCGTATTCCGCAACGAAATTTCTCTATCTACTCTCCAATGTCCCTCACCGGAAACCGCCGTAGCCGATTACTTCTCACTTGACCTCGACGGCGACACCGCCGAGCTGAATAACGGTTCCGTTTCGACGCCGGTGTCAGCTGCTGCTACTCCGTTGCCGGTTAAGGAAACAACGAGAGGACTTGAAGGCAATTGGTTTCGTGCTAATTGTCGGTTTAAGAGTCCTATGCTTCAGCTTCATAAGGGTATCGCGACGTCGTTTCTAGTTCTCGTAATTCTGTTTTCAGTTTTTTTTTCCGATTTAGCTTCTCAAAAAAGGCTTTTAATTGCCTCGTTAATGTCTTCTGGTTGTGATTAATCTATAATCAAGCCTCAACTGAAATATGATTTTAAAGAACGAATAAGCTCACGCAAACACATAGATATGAATGTGTATGTGTATATCTATGCATGTATATAACATTCCCTTTAGTTTACAAGTAACTTTGCTCCAAACCTTGTAATTGTAAATTCTAGAACCCAATAACTTAAAAGGACTAGAATCCCGAACCCATATGCTTCTTCTAGAAGCAGTGCACCTAAATTTGCTTTGTATATGTGTCGATTATGGATGTAAGCCTGTACTGTACACACGCATGTGTTTGTGTGCATGCATAATTGTTTTTGAAGACGGTGGTATCCGGTTAGCTTGGGCTCACCTCGACTATTCCATATGGTATCTGGTACTTCTCACCAACACTGGTACCGGGAGGGCAGATGCACAACATATGGTACAGGTTTGGCAGTCTAGCCCGGACCCATTGTTTGAGAAATTCACTAAATATGTCGGTGTAATAAACTGGAACCCAGTAACATAAATAGGCTGAGGGTTCGGTTGCAAGCGCAGGTCCCCAGAACTCATAAACTTCAAATCCTAAATCAACCTCTGAGTATCGGGTAACTCTGCTAGATAAGGCTATCTAGGCTTAGGCATGTGGGAAGAAAGCACTCGGTATCTTTTGCCTCCGCTAGGATTTGAACATGAGACCTCATGATCCTCTCTCCACTTCATTGACCACTAGGCCACACCCTTGGTTAAAACTTTAATTGTGTGCATGCATATTTGCTGAGGGTCTATTGGACCCTACCCTCCTCAGACCCCACGAGTGGGATTACACTGGACTTTTTCTTGTTGTTGTTGTTGTGTGCATGCATATTTATGTACACATATTTATATACTACTTCATATTTTTGACCTAGAAGCTGTGCAGCTAAATTTGCTAAAATTTGTTGTGTGCTATATTTGCAGAGATAATAGATTTTTGTGAGTTTTTATCACCTACACCTGAGGAGCAAGCATCTCGTAATGCAGCCATAGAATGTGTCTTTGATGTTATCAGATATATCTGGCCCAACTGCAAGGTCTGTTCTCACACTTTCCATTCTCCTCCCATCACTATATAGCACATTATATCTGTTGTGATGTACAGAAGCAGATTGATTTACTTTGTTGAAGTTCGTTGTTTTAATTTATCATTCTTATTCTTTTTTCCAGCCAGAAGTCTTTGGATCATTCAAGACAGGGCTATATCTTCCCACAAGTGATGTTGATGTAAGCTTACTTTGCGTATTTTTCAAGTAAATTTGAGATTTCCTTTCTCGGTAAAAAGATATTTTTCCTTAAAGTTTCTCACTGAAGTGCTGCTACTTCTGCCTAAAGTTGAGCTAATATGAATCTTAACTTTAACAATAATAACGGTACCCCTCAATATCTTGTTTATCCTCCCAAAGAAAAATTACAACAGCAACAACTATTACCCCTCAATACTGTACTGTTGGGTTCCAAATCCTCCACATGGCATGCAACAAAAAGCATCATGCTAACCTGGACATCCTGTACTTGACCACTTATTCTGTGATGTGAAACCTGTAAAGGCTGTTGTACCCAATTAAGGAGCATGTGCTTTTAAATGAGAAACATAATTAGTTGCTTATTGAAAAAATAGTTCTGGAGCGTGATACTGCTTTGTGGTGGTTACCGTGTTATAAATGTGTGTAAGATTGCAGACTTGCTTTGTTTGTGATGATAGATCTTTTTATTCACAGTCATAAGGTATATAGGACTTGTTGACTGATTGTGGTGTGGAAACAAAAATGATCGAAATTAAATTAACGTGTTGAGCTACTCTTTGATATACAGCTGGTGATTTTAGGGTCAGATATTAGAAGTCCTCAACTTGGGTTACAAGCTCTTTCTAGGGCTCTCTCACAAAAAGGAGTTGCAAAGAAGATACAGGTCCATGACATGACCCTGTGATCTCTCAATGAGGAACATTTTCTTTCATTTCACCCCTCCCCCAAACTTGTGATAGGTTTCTGCGAAGAGAACTTACAATCTGGATTTTTCATGTGCTTTTCTAAATTAGGTGATATCAAAGGCTCGTGTGCCAATAATCAAATTTGTGGAGAAGAAAAGTGGCATTTCATTTGATATAAGGTTTGATTATGTACTACTTTTACGGGATTCTGACAATACTATTGTGAGTTTGTAGAAGATAGTTCAAATTTTTTATGTTTATATGTCTTGTCTTTATCCTGAAAGTAGCTAAATAAAGCCATGTTTTGGATTGGCGAGAACTTCTTCCATTTAGTCTCTTGTTGCAAATTATCTTGCCCCTCCTTGGCGGTCAGTGGATAGTGTGGACCCAGGAGAGCTTGATTTGTGCTTTTCGGCTTTTCCAGACTGGATTTCAGTTTATTATCTAATGGAAATAATTCCACAGATTTTATTAAGTAATTTATTTTTGTGTTTTGGGATAATCCTTTATCTTGTGTTCCTTTTTTGTTTGAGTTTCTTTCTTGGTGCATTTGGTTGTCAATTTGTTCATATTAGTTTAGACTTTATTATCTTAATGAGCTAACAAAATGAAATGGAGAGTTGACCAAGCTCTCCCATTCTGTGCTTCTGGGAAGTTAGAGAAAAAACCTATGACAACCCACTGGAAATCGCTTTGGGACATACCTCATTGTTTTTAGCTGCTTCCTCTAAAGGTCGGCCAAGCGTTTACTATGCAAACAAGACTACCAACCTTTTGAACTCATTTGACTAAAGTTTGATATTGAGGCGGCTCTTCCTCCAAACCCTACAATATTACCGTAGCCTAGGTGTCAGGAATTTGTATATTGGCAGTTTTGGCACAAATTTTAGAGCTGGTTAGATGGTGGTGGGAGATGTTGTGCACTTTTTTTTTCAAATAATAATAATAATAGCAAAAGCAAATATCATGTTATAAATATTTCAATTGACAAAATGGATGAGAAAGCACGCTGCAACTTCATCTTAGTACCCATTTTCCTTGCTACTTATTGTTGGGAACTTTCACAATATCTTAGATTTGGTTACTTATAGATTGGTGAAGGGAAATGGTAAACATGCATAATGCACACTCTTCATAGAACTAGAGACAATTGATCAATATCAATATCAGTTAGAAGTCACCATTCAATATTAAGAGAAATGGTATTATAAATACCTGACCAAGTGCGTTGATTCACCACACAAAAATTGTTATATTGATTTTTAGTTTCATTTTCCCGCAACAAATTATTTTCCGGACCAACTAGGATTATTATGTAAATGGTATTCCAGTGGTCACTGACATTTTGTCAGATGCCTGAACATGACCGCAAAAGTTCTGTTTATAAGTTAAAGTTCAAAGTGCATGGCCTTTGACTTGCAAATAACAATAAACATACTCTAACATGTCCTCCACCTCGACGATAGTGGTATGACGTGAAATACCGTTCTAAATGTTTTGCTCTTGTGATCTTCATGTTTAATTTGCATGTACAGGAAAAACGACCAATAGTTGTCCGACAAGTCTCTACAAATATTGGTAGAGTTTGGTTTCTGGTCGTTCGAACGACTGGTTGTGGGAGTATGAGTAGGGGAGTCATGGCTATATATTGTTCTAGCCAGATTATCAAAGATACATACTACTTCAAGGTTGCGGTGAGCTTTTCCAAAGACGGAAGAGTTAAGGGTAATAAGAGTATTAGCAATTTGTTAACTGCATCATTATTCTGATGATAAAGTTTACACAAAGAGTGACATAGCAGATGTTCTCTTCAACCAGAACGTATATATCTCATGCAAAGATAAGAATATTTACATGTCTTTTCACTTGAGATATACTTTTGTTTGGATCAAAATTTGCATAAATTCATTTGCTGCCCACCAAGTCAAGACACAAGAGGTTGTGGTAGTCTATTAAGGAGCTCAAATGTCATCTTTTCGAGTACCTAAGCAAAAAGATAAAAGAGAATGGCAGTGTCTCACTTTCAGCTTGCTACTTAAAAATGCTTATGCTTAGTAGGTGAAAAAATATACTCCCTCCGTTTTAAAAAGATTGGCACTATTTCCTTATTAGTCCGTTTAAAAAAGGTTGGCACCTTTCACTATTTCCTTAATAGTAAGCATTTATAGCAACACAAATACTAAGACAGGTTTAAAACTACAAGTTTCAAAAGTTTTACAGCCACACAAATGCTATAGCTTATTTAAAACCACATATCTCAAAAGTCTTCCATTCTTTATTAAAGTTTGTGCCAAGTCAAACTAAGACAATCTTTTTGACACGGAGGAAGTAGTACTAGTATTTTTAAATAAATAGTTGGCTGCCCATGTTCTCAGTAAAGTGTAATACTAATATATGCATTATTATCAACTTACTCTCTGTCTTTATTCTTCTATCCCATATTCGCGACTTCTTTTATGTTTATTTTCTGGGTTGTATGGCTGCCGGTGAAGTCCTTGTTGCGGTTCAAATGCGTCATCAAGAACGGGTACACTTTTAAAAACAACCATAATTACATTTGAGATCACTTGAATTATAGCAAGAATAAGCCTCCCCAACACTTGATTTATGATTATGGTGCATCAGATGATTCCCTCCCTTCACATTGATTTCGAGTGATGGTATTAGTACAGTAGTACCCCCTTCTCGTGAAAATCATGATTATCTCCAGAGGTATGCCGAACCTTGTAGGTTCTATGAATGGCCTGTTTGTTCTGGAGAGAGAAATTGATGTCGAAATCTCCACAATGGCATTATGGAGTAGTACTATTTTTTTTTTCCACCTACTAAGCATAACTACTTTTAAGTAGCAAACTGAAGCACTATTATCTCTTTTGTCCTTTTTGTTTAGGTAATCAGAAAGATGGAGTTGGAGCTCTTTAGTACTCCACCACAGCCTCTTGTGTCATGATTTGGTGGGCAAGAAATGAATTTCCTCAAATTTTCGTCCAAACAGAAGTATATCTCATGCAAAAAGACATATGAAGCATTCTTTTCCTTGCATGAGATATATATGTTTTGATTGGAGAGAGCATTTCCTATGTTAGTCTTCGTGTAAACTTTATCATCAAAATAATAAATTCCTGCAGTTGACAAATTGCTAATAATTTTATTACCCTTAATTCTTTCGTCTTTGGAACGAAGGAATGTCACTGACTAGAACAATAGCCATAATTCCCCCGTTCATGCTCCCACAACTAATAGTCCGAATGACTAGAGATCAAACTATACCAATATTTGTGGAGATCTGTTGATAACTGTTGGTCGTTTTCCCACTGTACATGCAATTTAAATATGAATATTACAAAAATGAGCTTTTAGAGTTCTATATAAAAATATAATCATCAAAGAACAACAAGGACAATATTTCAAGTCATACCATTGTCGTCTTGAGGTGGAGGACATGTTAGAGTCTGTCCAGTGCTATCTGCAGGCCAAAGGCCGTGCAAGGTGAATTTTAACTTATTAACAGAATTTTTGCAGTCATTTTCAAGCATCCAAAAAAATGTCGCTAGCCACTGGAATACCATCTACATATGATCGTAGTTGGTGTGAGAAATGAATTGCTGCGAGAAATTGAAACTAAAATGCAGTATAATTGTTACCAAGTAGGCAAGTACTCCATTTAATTGGTAGTGTTAGCACCAAGATATGCTTTTGAATACTTAACCATGATTAAGTGATATTCATTTTCATTATGATTTGTTGATTCTTAAGGTTAATTGTTTAGTTAGGGTAAACACCCGGTGTGGTAAGTATTTACCCCATTTAACTCAATGGTTGAAGGATGAAATTTTCTGTGGTGAATCAACGCATTTGGTGAGGTATTTATAATACCATTTCTCTTAAACAGTTGCCTTTAATTTTATGAAGAGTGTACAATATGGAACAACCTATGTACTATATGATGAATGGTGATAATGACCAACATATTCGGATATGGTGAATACCACAATGGCAAAATAACTAGGTGGATGACATTGATGTCTTTTGTGAATAATCTGACCTCCAAAGTGTAAACCAACTCCAAGGATGAGTGCTAGCACAAATATTCTGTTTTCCTCTCTCGGTTTGGGCTTCTTTTGGATTCTACTTTATTGCTCCAACTTAAATTTTTAGCCTTAAAAATGTTGAATGAGACAAGA